TGAAACAGGCCTAGCCTTTTAGGAAAACTTGAGTGAATTGAGGACCCCCCCTGAGCCTGCAGCTTTAGTTCAGGCAGTGTAGAGATGATCAAGTTTACCCTGGATGAATAGCTGCCATTTTTTCATGTAAAGCTGAGATGCTGCTGGGGCCAGGGCAGCTGCATTTTTTGTTGTTTTGTTTTTCCATTTAAAAATGAGGCTTTTGGGTACTTTCCCATCTTATTAGTCTTTGAATCTGAGTTGACCCACCCAAAATAGGAATATCTGGCCAAACAGTCACAAGAGTTTAGTTGCAAACTTATAGCAGTTTTTCAAAAGTAGCGTGACTAGTAGCTGCATCAGGGAGGCCATAAGTCCAAAACCCCAAGGGAGCTTACAGATGGAGACTATCTCTCTCTTCAGAGGTAGAAGCTCCAATCAGCAAAGTGATCAGTCACAGAGACTTGTATTGTATCCAGTACCCATGAGTCCAATAAGGTGCTGGACCTCATCCTTCGTGGAGAAAAACTGAAGAGACAGCAGTTTTTCCTTGGCTACTGGAAGGACAGGAGCCTTGGTGGTGCAGTGGTTAAGCATGTGGCTGCTAACCAGAAGGTTGGTGTTTCAAACCCACCAGCTGCTCCGTGGGAGAAAGATGTGGCAGTTTGCTTCGGTAAAGATTTACAGCCTTGGAAACACTATGGGGCAGTTCTACTCTGTCCTATAGGGTCGCTATGAGTTGGAATCAACTTTACGGTAATGGGTTTAGTTTTTTTTTTTTCTTTTTTTTTTTGGTACTGGAGAGACTGAATATTCTGAATCCTCTACATAGTCCCAAGAAACTTTGCTTGATGAGCCAGGGGTTGGAATTTTGCTTGATTTATCAGCCACTCTGGCTGGCAGAGATGTGATAACTCAATTAGGGCAAATGAGACTAATGCTTTTTTTTTTTAATTGAAATATAATCCACATACCATTTTGATCTGCCAACCAACAGGATGTCATCTATATAGTGAAAACTTTAGATATCAGAAGGTAGAGGCACTAACATTAAATCCTGTTGACGAAATGACAGGGGAGTTGTCCTACTGGAACCTCCCTGCCTACAGAGAATGAGAAAGGGATGAGAAAGTAAATGCAACAACAATAGTACATGAAATTGGCATAAAGCGCCCCACCCCCAAGGCCACTTTATCTCCCTCCTCCACTGTGAACCTATCCAAACTCCAATATTTGAATTCAGGTATCTTCAAACCCCCATGAGTCTACGTAGGCTGGTGCATTTTGCCCCAGAGGGAAACACTATCTCTATATTCCAAGACTGTTAGGTATATAGATACCCTTGAAAACAATCTGAAAAAAAGTTGTCACAAGATGTGCAGAAATGTGAGACACTTATCCCGTTCATGACCAGGGGGACATATATGTCCCAGCTACATCTCCACTTCTGGAGTTTCTTGGGAAGTTACTTTCCCACTGATAGTATGTGCTGCTGGCAGGCGGGGACTGGTATAAGTGTTTGAAACTGAAGAAACGGGCATGTGCCACAAATTACTGTTTTTACGGGTGTTGTACATAGGGTTGCTAAGAGTTGGAATTGACTTGACGGCAACTGCTTTGGTTTTTTTTTTTGGTATGAGGTGGTACATCTGGAGGTGTGATTCTGCAAAACTGTTGTCTCTTTTGGCTTTTGTACAGAAAGATAAGCCTTGTAAGTATATTTCCAGGTTCCTGTGTGTTATTTGGAAGCTGCATTTCTCATCCCACAGTCCTACCCCCAGAGCCCGGAGGGATAAATGTGTCCAACATAATCCTACATAATCCTACCCTCAGAGACCAGATGGACATATGTATCCCACATAATATTATTCAAAATCCATATTACCTACCAAAAATTCAGATATACTCAGTGATGTGTTCCATTAATGAAAGAATAATAAATCAACAAAAAATTAAAAGTGAAAAATAATTCAGTCTAGAATGGATTTTGGAGACTTGTTTCCCAACATCAAGCATTTATAATAATAAATTGCAATAATAATTTTTGATAAGTGGGCAAAATGTTTTAAGGTGGGCAACTTTCAGCTCTGGAGCCACTGTCTGATACCTAGAAGCCACTGACGTGTGGTTTAGGGCAACTCTAGTCCTGGTGTCTTCATGTGTTAATGAAAGGATTACACTAGATGACATGAAAATGTATGCATATACATACACACGTAAGCATGTTATTTGTAGTTCCTCTTTCTAATAGCCTTAATTTCTAGTCAAAATTGGATTATAGTAAAATTATTTCTTTTCTGATCAGAAGCCAAATATATGTATATCTGATCAAATGTTCAACTGTAAACAGTTTCAAATTTATCCAAGTTCAAGTTCAGCTTTAATGTATAAGTAAATTTGATATAGTTCTCATAGTAAGCAGAAGTCTTCCAGATACTGAGTTGTAAGTTAAAGAAAATCTGAACAAAAGGTTTTCTTGAGCAATAATTGCAGTGGTAAGTATGATACATTAACATACATTTTTAAAAGCAGTGGTATATTTATAACTCTTGGCCAGTTCCTCCTGACATTTTTTTTTCCTCCAACATTCTAGGTACTGCCAAATATGCTTGATATTAATACGCTTGAACTCATAAATCAGTAGTCTTGGTAATTTGTTGTTGTTACTATGTAATTACTGAAAGCATCTTTAGCATTTTATATTAAATTTCCCTGTATGCGTCTAGAAATTTCAAAGAGATAGTGGTTAAAAAATTGTTCTGGAAACTTATAAAGATTTTTGGCCTTATGTTCAAAACCAATAAAAAACTTTTTAAAAAGGTTTTCTACATTTTTAGATATCAATTTAAAGACCTAAAGTTTGCCCTAGACTTGATGTGTCCTCTCCAAAAAAGAGACCCCATCAACATCTATATGATCTGGCAAAGAAGTCACATGCTTTGTGAGATCTTGTCCTGCTGCAGAGAGAAAACAGCTGCCATCTCAGACAATATAAAAAGGAGATGGTTCGGCAGGTATTTAAGAAAAAAGTAATAAAGTTGTTTGTCTATACAAAATCAGTGTAAAAGTCAGGTTCCTTGCCTGGTAAGGCCGATTCTTTTCTACAGTCTCATATCAGGTGGCACATTGACTTTTGTGATATTCCCCCCGTCACATCTCTTCACCAGATTTTAGCACTTTTCACCAGATTAAGAATCCTGATTGGATGATAGCTCACAAAAAGTGATCTGCCCCAGCCTTGATCTTCCCTGGGGTAGATCTGGATTGTCCTTTCTTTTATCAGACAAAAGAAAGAATGAAAACGTCTTAGCCCTGACTCCTGTTCACAATAGCAATTCTTAAACCAGATACTGGTTCTTCTCAGCTAAAACTTTTTTTTAATATACATTATGTTGTTGTTGTTGTTAGGTGCTATCAAATCAATTCCATCTCATAGTGACCCTTTGTACAACAGAACAAAACACTGCCCAGTCCTGCATCATCCTCACAATTGTTGCTGAGTTTGAGCCCATTGTTGCAGCCACTGTGTCAATTCATCTCATGATATACATTGTAAATGAATATAATTACTCATTTGGAAACTTGTTTTCTCAATTTCTTATTGTATGTTCCATTCAATGTTTTATTTTTTTAACTCTTTGTATATTTTCCCAAAGTAATTGAATATTTTCTCTAATTTCAATGGTGATATACATTAATAATTACTACCTAGAAGGAATCTGACAATGTTTGTAATTACTGAGTCAAGCCAAACTCGTTGCTGTTGAGTCGATTCTGACTCATAGCAACCCTGTAAGACAGAGTAGAATTGCTCCATAGGGTTTCCAAGAATCAGCTGGCGGATTTGAACTGCCAGCCTTTTGGTTAGCAGCCTTAGCTCTTAACCACTGTGCAACCAGGGCTCCAAACAACTGAGTAGACGTATCCTAGTCACATAGATTTTCAAATAATGTGAGTTTGGTTAAATTTCCAAAGACTAAATGCTATGAGGAAAAGTTTGTCATTGCACTGCTAGCTGGTAGTCAGGATGCATCAATCCTGCCATCCTACGTGATCTTTCCAAAGGTTGTCACGAAAGAGTGAACACTGAAATTGGTTAAGTGGAAAATTGCATTACCTGAGAACATAATCATTCTAGTTTTTAAATCATAAATATGCTTGATCAGTTTAGAACTTTAAAAAAAACAGATTAATTGAAAATCTGAGTTTTTTCCATAAAGATTCAAAAAACGTTATAGAGCACAGAAGCTTATCCTAAGCAATATTAGTAATCTAAGCAAATAAAATTTAGATAATTATATTCTAAATTATACACCAGTATGACTAGTAGAGTTTCATTGTAGAAGAATATAATAAATTTGAAAATTCCATAAATGGAAGAAAGATGTTTTAAGATGTAAAGAAAAAGGATTTAAAATAGAATAACTTCAAGTTAAAGTTTAAATACATATTTTTGTCATTTAAACAGTTGAATTAAATACAGATGATATAAGGAATCATGTTTCTTATATTGTTTTATTTATTGCCACAAAATACTTTCTATTCAGAAAACTTGTGAAAATTTGAAAAAAAATTAAGAAAAACTATCTGATAGTGTTTATAGAAAAAATGATACTAATATACTAAAATAATGTAATTTTTAATAATGAGGTTTGATATTATAATTTGCATTATAAAGAGATAAAATATCTTTTTCATCTATTATGTCTACAGTTGCCTCAGAGTCATAGTTATCAAATAGTTAAATATACTGAACAAGGAGTCATTCAATCTGCATCACTTATTTTTTATAGCACTCAAGTTCCTTTATCCAGGACTCAGAATGGAAAGTCATCCCATTTTTTAGTATGTTTGCATTAAAGAGACATTTCATATCTTACAGTTGCAGAGAACAAATTTTCTTATAAATAAAAATTCTGATATATTCTCTTAATATTTGTAGTATATAGGACAATTTGAAAGATACTTTGTAAAACTTAAAATACTAAATTGTGTACATGTTCATGTTATTATTTGTGCAGGGTGCCTTAGAGAAAGAATGGCTAGCTTTAGATTCCACCCGCTTCCCTTCACAAACACAGCTTCTACCAAACCAGCTGCCCTGGCCAAAGGTAACATGTCAGGGAGACTTCTTAGTGTTCGATGTTTGCTCGTTTCTTAAGGTTATGCTATGCTGCAGTGATTAATAATATAATTTATTGACTTGAAAAACACAATTACTTTTAGAAGCTTCTGACTTCCTCCTCATCCCCAGATGTAATTTCTCATGTAGCTTTTCTTTCATTTGCTTCTAATTTTTTTTCTTTATTTTGGATTTCTTTCAACACTTTATTTCACAGTAGCAAAAAAAAATTTAAAAAGATGTGCTTCAGCTGCATATTTGGCAGTAGACTAAAATCACTAGTTGACAGCACTTTAAAAACACAAAAAGATGCATTAAGAGGGCAGCAGCTGAAGATTCTCAGTCAGAGGTCAATGAACTGCAATATCTGTTATTTATTTGATAATCTTTGAAGTTTTTGTTTTCTAAGCTTTTTTTTTTTGATCTTTGCAATTAATCATTTTCTGCATGCAGACTATACCAAAAAGCATATCTCTTGCCACTACATCAAAGGATATTATGTGTTTATTTCCCAGATTTTATTTTATTACAATTTTAAATTTTTATAATGAGTATTACTTTAGAAGGCTACTTGGTAATATAAATGTAAATGTAATATAAATGCTAGAATTTTTAAATTTATTCTTATTTACCTTACATTTTCCTTCTGATAAGTACTCTGGAACCTTAAAATATGATGACACTTCACTTAATTTACCAAGTCATCCAGCTCGAGCATGGCTGTGCAATGAGAAAGAAAATACGTTCTCACCAGAACACACACAACTTAATAGCAGGTAAGCTAAATTATTCTTTTAGAGGATTTACCCACGAATGACAAGAATGTTACATTCCCTACAAAAGTATGTAGCAAAATGATGAAATTAAGTCTGAATTCTTGTTTAGAAGATGGAAGAACATCTTATGTTGAAAAATATCAGTGATTTTATGGAGTTTTTAGTGTAAGAAAAATGTGACAGGTAGGTACAGTAAAGCAACTGAAAGTCTTAAATGTCAGTGAAATAATGTAATTAATTGTTGGAAAAAAAAGTGAACCTTTAAATACTTCTGTATAGGAAGAGATAAGGATGAAAATAAAAAATTCAGCACTGCATTTCTTTTGATAAAAGGATTGAAATATGCTCTAAGTAATTGAAATGTAAACATTTAAAATTAATGGGAGACTTTTATTACTTTTCAAGATAAAGATTTTTCTGTAACTCAAATGGATTTTATTTCCATATATGAGACCACATAAATAGCTTGCAGTTTTAAAAAGTGCTGATATACCTGTGTTGATACAATTAAAGCTGTTTTTTTTCCTGTTGCCAGATCAGAAAATAGAACTTTATCTTGGACATCTGAATCAAAGACCAGTAGAAAAAGTTTGCTAAAATCTGAAAAAGAAGAAAAAATTTCAGAAGAATGGTATGTGATCTATTTTACACTAAAAAACTAAGAAATAGAGACTAATATGTTGTTCAAGATTTCAAGAATAACTTTATCAATTTTTAAAAAACTAATCATCTGATTCAATTAAAGTTTCCTAAATAGGAATTCTAATTTATTTTAGTATGATATAATCAGATATATATATTTATATGTATTTGTTTCACTCTTATTAAATTTAATCTTTTAATAGGGGCTTTAAGGATATCTCTACTGCTCAGCAAATGCTGAAGAGAGCTCAGAAAATGAAGTCAAATAAGTTAAGGAAAAAGAAAGGTGGGTAATCAATGCTGTAAGAATAATAACCATGTGTGTGTGATGCTGAAGATCAATTCTTTTAAGACATATTTGCCAAATTGTATTTAATATGAACAAAAATGAATGCTTCAGTATGAATATATCTATAGTAATGACTCAGGAAAAAAAAACTTAAGAAGACTTAGGGAAAATTATGTTATTACATTAAGTGATTTGTTATAGTCTTAAATGCTTTTTTCACTCCCTTCTTATCTACTTCACTATTGATTATTGTACCTATTGTGCACTAAGAACTGTGTTATAATTTGTTTCTAAGCTGTTTTAGTTTAGAGAGTGTTGATTCTAAAGAGCATCTGCTTCATGTGCTTATTCGTTCGTATGTTTTTCAATTGCCTTGTTGTTCAATAAACCATTTATATAAATTCTTCAGTTGCATAGATATTAATTATGAAGACTTTGCAACTTGACTCTTTGGAAAAGGAGCACAGTTCATGTCTTTTACGATTTTGCAGAATTTGGGAAATGTTCAACGGCTTCTTTTCTTCTATCCCACTTGCCAGGCTGCTCTTCACATCAATTGTCTTTCTTTGGACACCTCCAATCATTTTAGCATAATTACTTACTATGTGGAGTAGTTTATAGATGTCAGGGGGCAAGAAATAGCAGGTTATTAGGATATTACATCTCTAATTAAAACTATTAAAATTATTTGCATTTTTCTTATAGTTTTGCATTTACTTTATAATATTTACTTTATTGTTTCTATAAATGTAATAGCTTTATAAAAACCTTATATGTATTTACTCATGGATTCATAGGCTCAATACAAGTAACATGATCTATTAATGTTTTGAGATTTTTTTGCTTATTAGTTTCTTTTATAAAGATCTTATTGTCAGTGATATGTTTCCATAAAATACCGTCATTCCTGAGAAGAGCAAGAAATGTATACTTATAGTTCTAGCTTAAGTCAGTACACAAAGAGTATGTAGGAAACTTACTATTTTTCTATTTATTAATTTTAAGGATTACTTCATAGCAGCCTTCTAAGGACATAATGTGTGTATGTGTATGTGTGTATATATATATGTATATATATATATTTTAAAAAATAGAAGTAAGAATAGCCAAAATATTCTTAGTTTCCCAGGAATAAATGATATTTGTTGGCACATCACTTACGAGACATTGATAAATTATTGGTGATAAATTTTTACATTTAGAAATGTTCAACTTTCCTTTTTTGGTGTTAATGATATCTTAATTTTTTCATCTTTTAGAAATAATTATTACATGTATTTTTGTTGTGTACTAAAAGTTTTTCAGCCTTAAAATATTGACATTTTAAGTATTTTTAAGAAGAATATAAATAAATGCTCTGTTTTTTCCAACTTTCTCTGTGCTCCTGCAGCACTCTTGTTTTGTTAACTCCTATTATGTGCTTCAGGGCTCTGTGAACTACATGCCAAGTGGCAGTAACCCTGGTGAAATATTAACTACAAATTCCTAACAATAATGGGACTCTATTTCAGCCCTGGGGATTTGGAATCTAGTACAGTAAATCGGGGTAGTTCGGTAAACTCTTTTATTGCTTTGATGTATGTTTCTACTCATCTTCTACCGTATCAATAAACATTCTTTGAATACTTGTTCTGAGAACAATAATAGTTTCTGAAGCTCCTGGGACAAGGTCAAATATCAGAAGTGGTTTAAGAACTAATTCAACAAATGTTCAACAAATAATTAGTACCTATTTAAGGTCTCCACGAGTAGGAGCTCACTTGATGGTAACCAACAACAACAACCTTTATGTTCAAGAAATTTTTCTAGGTTTCCTTCTTTTAGATATGTACAGTTTTGCAATAGCTTCCCTTGCTGGACTTCCAGTATGAATCTGTTTCTGGGGTTATACAGATCTCTCTTGCTAATTCTTAGAGTGTTTTTGTTTGTTTGTTTTGTTTTGTAGACTGGGTACATTTTTTGATAAATTAGCATAGTAAGTCATATGTGTTAACAATGGATTCAGTAAGGGATATATGTTGTTGTCACATGCCGTCAAGTTGATTCTGACTCACAGTGAACCTATAGGACAGAGTAGACCTGTCCTGTAGGATTTCCTAGGCTGTAAATCTTTAGGAGAGCAGATTGCCAGGTCTTTTCTTCTGCAGAGCCACTGAGTGGGTTCGAACTGCTGATCTTCCTATTGGCAGCCGAGGCCTTAACCATTGTGCCACTGGCCTCCTTAAGGAATATTGACTCACACATAAAAATCATTGCTTTAATGGCCAAAATTTAGACGTAATTATTATCAGGCAAAAATCAAACCTCCTTTTATTATTCACAAGGGTGCATTGATAGGGTAACATAAGAAAAAGAATATCCAAGTTACAACCACATCTTCAATTTCACATTTTGATAGCAGTCATTAAGCATGACATGTTAGGTAAAAATCCTAAATGGCAATTGTATAATTCTTATGGGGATTATTCCTCTAATAACACGATAGTAAACAGAATTGCATTCTTACTACTGTGTGAGGTTTTTTGTCTGTGTTGAATTTTTGTTTTGCCTTTGTTTTATCAGAATAATGGATTGATGAAACCAAACCTTTTTTTTCCTTCGAAATTTGAATAGTTTATGAAGAGCTTTAAATCCTGCATTCTTCTACCCCATTCTCCTTCACAACACATACGCAGATTAGAAACATTCAAGGTACGATTAAAGGTGGAAAACATGAAAATCAGTGGGATCCTCTTCAGTTCTCACGTTTTGTTTTCCTTTTAGTAGCTTGATGATGTAGCACTTAATGTCATTTTATAGCTGTGAGAAAGTCGTTCAAGACTCCACCTTGGATTTTCTTCTTGTAGCCTGGAGAATTTTCCTGTACTTCTCCCGGCTTTTTACTCCTATCAATCTGTGATATGTTATTAACTTTTTTGAGTCTGTCTAAAATAATGGCTATAATTTAAAATTTTTATTCACTAATAAAATAAAAAAGGATCCCTAGTGGCTTAGTGGTTAAAGTGCTCAACTGCTAACCAGAAGGTCGCAGTTCAAACCCACCAGCGGATTCACCGGAGAAATATGTGCAGTCTGCTTCCTTGAAGATTTACAGCCTTTGAAACTCTACGGAATAGTTCTACTGTGCCCTGTAGGGTTGCTATGAGTCGAAATCAACTCCACGGCGGTAGATCTGATTTTCGGAATAAAATAAAACAATGTTTTAAATATTTAAATTCTATTACAAATTAATGAGTTAACTAATAATGTTTACATATACATGGAGATATAAATGTTATATGGGACAGTTTACCAAATTGAAACTTTCAAGCCACTAGAGGGCAACATTGTCCATAAAACAGCTGTGAGATAAACGGGCTCTGTGGGAATGGGGCGGTAGGAGGGTGGCGTCAGAGAATAAAACCAAACCAAACCCGTTGCAGTCGAGTCCGTTCGACTCATAGCGACGAGAAACTTTTAATCTCCTACGGTCTAACAAAGCAGTTAGCCTTAAGGAGACGGGACATAAATGCTCCAAGTATGGGAGCTTTAATTGAAAATTTGGCTGTGGAAAATTCATTTCACCTTAAAGCAAATTGCTGGGTACAAAGTACTTAATATTTCCTGCTTATTCTTGCACATATTTGTATTAGTCAAGGGTATGAGCCAAAAATATTTGATTTAAGGTGAGAGCGAAAACGGCAAAAGGCAAGGGTCAATTAATTTAAGAAAGGGGAGCATGATGGTGTCGCTTGCAGATAGAAGAGGAATACTACTGAGGAAACTGGTGAATAAGGAAGCAAGTAGCTGAGGAAACCTGCCGTGTGGGCTAAGTGTTGATAACTTTTGTTAGTGTGAGGCCAACTCCTTTTAAAAGAAGAAGATAAAGAAAAAGAAGGTGAATTGCTTGGAAGCTACAGGATGGAATAAAAAATAGTGAGGCGTTACCATGATTTACTCAGTTTGGATTTGGGTTCTGATTATTGTTATTCCTATTTAGCAATTGTGATTTCCCTCATGACTGACATAAGTACGAACCAGTAATGACTGTCTTGTTTTTGTAGTTTGTTTTGTTCTTACTGTTGCCCCATGCACAGAAGTAATTTTAGAATTTGGTGATCTGTTTTGGAATTTAGCAAGTACTCAGGGAAGTTTAGAGTTCAGTACTGCAGTGAAGAACATCATCTGCAAGTTGAGGGTTACTGGTTTATTGAAAACATGCAGGGTCAATAACCTAGAGGTAGTGCAAATAATTGGTGGCAAGACTGAGAAGAGCTACTTTGGAAAGGGGATGTGTGATTGGTTTTGATGTATAGCATTCCCCAGGGAGGTTGAGCTCTGAATATAGAAGTGCTGGTGGAAAGCAGCTGGTAAGAAGTCCAAGGGCTAAGAGTATAAGGATGGTTTTCCTGTGATTATACTACCGGATTCCTATGATTATACTACTTATGGATATTCAATTTCATAGAGAAAAGAAGGAGCAAGCTGAAGCAAACAAGGTTAATTTAGTTGTGAAGGTAGAGCCACAACTAGGGATAAGAATCATCCTGTAGCTCTTTGTAACATCTAGCACAGTGTCAGATATGTCCTAAGCATTCAATAAATGTTTGTTGATTTTATTTCCATGAATAAAATAACTTGAGACTGCATTGGTAACATTTTTCCATAGCCAAGAATTAAGTCAGGTAGAAACTGAGAAAGGCTAACTTTCTAATAGGAATTAAGCAGTTCATGGGCTATAGTAAAAGAGCGAAGCAAGGAGATCAGGTTTCAAAATGATCATGTAACTAAGGAATGTTAAGAGGGAGGGACTAAAAGGGAACAGTATAGACAAAACTGTGGCAAAATGAAGTTTATCATTAATTTATTTTGTCTTATTTGCTAATTTCCAAAAAGAATTAACAAGAATTTTGATTGAATGTGACTTTATTGTGCTCTCAGCAAAGGATAGTAACACTCATTTAGATAGTAATATCCTTAAGGGCAGAGACTCTACTTGTTCCCTACTGAATTCCCAG